GAAACTTGAATTTAGAGCAAGAGGAATTAATCAGTGTTTTCTAAATTTTTAAAAATTTGCTAGCTTCAAACAGAGTATTGAAGGACACAAATGCATTCTTTCTTCCCTGGCCAATAAGCGTCCACTGATGATCAACTTTCTTTCTTAAGTACAACTTTTTTCCTATTTCTGATATGCTAATATTTTCAATCAGGTTATAGTCTAGTTTGGGGATCATTGTGTTTGTTTCAGTTTGAACATTTCTTCTCTGGATCAGTTTGTCTTCATTGTAAAGTTTAAATTCCAAATGGCCAGCTCATTTTCCTTAGGTAAAATTCATGATTAGGTAGTGGAGTGGACCTTGGAGATCTTATTACAACCCCTACATGCTGGCAATATGGGCCAGGTGGTTAGTGGCACCTGTATATGGTGCTAAGAGGCAGATGATCAGGGAGGGCTTCACCCGAAGATGAACTTTTGCCTGTCCTGATAACATAACAAAGCTAGGTTGAATGGGAAGGAAATTCTAGCAGAGGGACACAAGCAGATTTATGGCTCTGGGTGATCCTGTGCTGTGATAGAAATTTTCTCTGAGGATTTAATTCAAAGGTGATCCCCTTTCAAGTATATTCAGGGGTCCTCAAACTTTTTAAACAGGGGGCCAGTTCACTGTCCCTCAGACCATTGGAGGGCTGTTGGAAAGTGTGGTGCACATCCCACACCTGCACACTGTGGGCCCGGGAAAAGTCGACTGCTAAGCAGGACAGGCAGCAGTGGCAAAAACACCCAGCAGGCGGGATAGATGTCCACGGAGGGCCGCACGTGGCTCATGGGCGGCAGTGTGAGGACCCCTGAAACTATTTAAAAAAGAGAATCATTGAATTGTCAGATGATGGCCATCTGCTTCAATGTGTGCTTTTGAAGCCTAGCAGATGGCACATTCCATTTAGGTGGACATCCTGGAACCTGCAGGCAACTGTCAGGGGAGAATGATTTTAGAGAAGATTCAGTAAGTTTCTAACATCAAACTAGAACTACTGTATTATGTCTATCTAGCCATCTCTTTGTTATCGTTTTATAGTTTTATTGAGATGTAATTGGCATACAATAAACCGGGCAAATTTAAAGTGTACAACTTGAAAACTTTTAACATATATATTATATATACCTGCAAAATCATCACCGCAATTAAGATGATGAAATTATCCATCATCCCAAAAAGTTTCTTTCTGCCCTTTTATGATTCCTCCCTCCTGCCCTCCTAATGCACAGGCAACTGCTGATCTGCTTTGTCACTATCTGAGAGTTTTCATTTTCTAGAATTTCATATAAATAGAATCACAAAATATGTACTCTTTATTTTTGTCTGGCTTCTTTCATTCAGCATAATTATTTTGAAATTTATTTGCGCTATTGTGAGAATCAATAGTTCATTTTCTTTTGTTGCTGAGTAGTATTCCATTGTATGGATGTGTCACACTTCATTTATTAATTCCTCAGTAGTTGAATTGTTTTCAGTTTTATGGCTATTACAAAGTTTCTATGAACATTTGTGAGCATATCTTTATGTATATATATGCTTTCATTTCTCTTGGGTAAATTTCTAGGAGTAGTACATCAGGCATGCTTTTTGAGAAACTGCCAAATTGTTTTCCAAAGGGGTTGTACCTCCACATTCCTACTAGGAATACTTTCCAATACTTGTTACTGCCTCTCTTTTTTATTATAGGCATTCTAATGGTATCTTACAATGGTTTTGATTTACATTTCCCTAATGGCTAATGATAGGCATTTTTTCATATGCTTGATTATTATCTATACATTTTTGGTATATGGATTTGAAACCATTTACCTATTTTTATTGAGTTGTTTGCTTCTTTATTGTCACATTTGGGGTCTTTATATATCCTAAATACAGGTCTTTCTTATATATGTACTTTGCAAATATTTTCTCCCAATCTGTAGATTGTCTTTTCATTTTAGTAACAGTGTCTTTTGAAGACCAGAAATTTTAAAATTTTGCTGCAGTAAATAAACATTATCAAATTTTTCTTTTATGGGTTTTGTTTTGATGTCATATCTAAGAAATCACTGCTTAATCCAAGGTTGCAGAAATATTCTATTTTTTTGTAAGTTTTTTAGTTTTGCATGTTTACATTTAGGCCTGTGATCCATTTTGAGTTAACTTTTGTATGTGATACAAGTTATTGGTCAAGGTTTTTGTTTGGGTTTTTTGGGCACATAAATGTGCAGTTGTTCCAACACTGTTTGCTGAGAAAACTGTACTTTTTCCATTTAATTGCCTTGGCACCTATGCTGAAATTAAATGACCATATGCATGTATGTGTCTATATCTGGATTTTCTATTCTGTTCCACTGATTTTTTTTCTTCAGACTAATACCCTACTGACTTGGTTATTATAGATTTATAAGTCTTAAAACAATGTAATCAAGTCCTCTAACTTTGCTCTTATTTAAAATTGTTTTCATTGTGCTAGGTTCTTTGTGTTTACATATACATTTTAGAATCCACTTTTCAATGTAGACAAAAATCCTGCTGGGTATTTGATTAGAGTTGCATTGAGTACATAGATCAATTTGTAGAGAATCAATATCTTAAAAATATTGGGTTTTTCTGATCTATGAATATGGTACATCATTGCATTTATTTAGGTTAGATGGTTTTGAACTGGGGACAATTATCAATCACAAGGGACATTTGACAGTATCTAGACACATTTTTTATTGTAATAATTGTGATTCAGGGTGAAAGTTAGACTGGCATGTAGCTAGAGGTCAGAGATGCTGATAAACATCCTACAATGCACAGAACAATTCCCACAACAAAGAATTATCCAACTCAAAATGTCAATAGTGCCAGGATTGAGAAAACTTCATTTAGCTCTTCTTTAGTTTCTCTTCTGTGTTTTTAGTTAACAGGATTTGCACATCTTGTAACACATTTATCCCTAAATTCTTCATATTTTAAATCTATTATACATAGCATTGTCATTAAAATTTCAATTCTGATTTTTCATTGCTAGTTTATATTGATTTTTATATATCAATCACGTGTCTTATAGCCTTGCTAAATTGACTAGTTCTAGTAGCTTTTTCCCTAGTTTCCATAGACTACTCTACATAATGATTATGTCATCTACAAAACACACACACACAAACCGTTTTCTTTCTTTCTTTCCAATCTGTGTGTCCCATTTATTTTTCTTGCTTTATTGCACTGGCTAGAACCTCTAATACAATGTTGAATAGAAAAAATGGGAGCAAACATCTTTGCCTTGTTCCTGATTCTAGGAGAAAGGCATTGAGTATAATGTTACCTGTAGGTTTTTCATAGATATCTTTTATTAGGTTAAGGAAATTCCCTTATATTCTTAATTTTCTAAGAGTTTTCATTAGGAATAGATGTTTAATTTTGCAACCAGGGAGAATAATATGTTATTTTTCTTTTTTATTCTGTTAATATGGTAAGTTACATTGATTGATTTAAGAATGTTAAAATTGATGTTGGGTTTTGGGGAAAAAATCCCACTTAGTCATGCTATATTATCCTTTTTATATATTGAGGATTAGATTGCTAAAATTTTGTCAAGAATATTTGTATCTGTGTTCATGACAGATATTAGCTTGTATTTTGCACTTGTAATGTCTTTTTCTGAATTTAGTATGAGGATAATGCTGGCCTCATAAAGTGAGTTTGGAAGTATTCCTCTTCTTAAAATTTTAAAGAGTTTATATAGAATTGGCACAATTTCTTCCTTAAATATCTCTTAAATTTCACTAGAAAAGATTTTTATTTTTGGGATAGGGTCTTGCTCTGCTGCCTAGGCTAGAATGCAGTGGCATCATCATAGCTCACTGAAACAGCAATTCTCCCACCTCAGCCTCCCAAGTAGCTGGGACTACAGGTTCACACCATCTGCAAACTACTACAACCTCTGTGGAAAATAATATGGAGATACCTCAAAGAGCTACAAATAAAACTACCATTTGATCCAGCAATCCCACTACTGGGTATCTACCCAAAAGAAAAAAAGACATTCTATAAAAAAGACATCTGCACTCAAATGTTTATAGCAGCACAATTCACAATTGAAAAGATGTGGAAACAATCCAAGTGCCCATCAATACATGAGTGGATTAACAAAATGTATATATGTATACCATAGAGTGCTACTCAGCCATTAAAAAAAATGATAAACTGTCTATTGTATTATCCTGGATGGAGCTGGAGCCCATTCTTCTAAGTGAAGTATCACAAGAATGGAGAAACAAACACTACATGTACTCACCATTACCTTGGTACTAATTGATCAACACTGATGTGCATATCTGGGAAGTAACATTCATAGGGTGTTGGGCAGGTGGGAGAAGGGGATGGGCAAATCCACATCTAACGGATGTGGTGCATGCTGTCTGGGGTATAGGGACCCTTGTCAGGCAGAGCAAAGGCAATTTATGTAACCAAAACATTTGTACTCCTGTAATACTCAGAAATAAAAAAAGTATATCTTTTGAGTATGTTATATGGTTTTTGATTAGATGTATCTTTCTGCTTTTATTTGACTTAGATGAATATTAAAATTTGTTTAAATTTCTTGAATATATACCTGTTAATATTGGAAGATGTCTTCTAGATGACAAAATGGCAAATGAGGGATTATTACAGACTTTTGTTTTGGTTTTTGGCTATAGGTACATCCTTTCTTCCTTTCTTTGGACAATAACCATACATTTCTTTTACAGACTTTTGTTTTGGTTTTTGGCTATAGGTACATCCTTTCCTCCTTTCTTTGGACAATAACCATACATTTCTTTTTGGAGAATTACTTTTTTGCCATTAATTATAGTCTTGCTCTAAAGTTTGGTTAAGGTACCCTGCCCTCCCTTAGCTAAATGATGCTCATGAGACTCATACTCAGACATCACCTGACTGTCTCTATGAACATTGAGTTTTCAGTAGAGTAATAGAAGAGTGAAACAAATGGTTGGAACAACTGGCCTTTTCTTGCTACCTGGATCTTTTTTTACTTCTCCTATTCCTGCCCTTCTAAGCTTGTTCTTTTAAGTCTTCAACTGCTCCTTTGATTCTGTGGGTTTCTCCTTCCAGTAAATCCTCTTTTAAAAAATTTCATATAGCCAGGGTTTGTTCACTGATTTCTCCAAAAAGTATGTGTGGAGTGTCAGGCACAATTCCAGTTGCTAAAATAAAGTGAAGAAAAAGATGATCAGATAAAGGCTCTACCCTCACAAGCTTAAGTTTAATAATGTTGTAGTAGTATTGGTGAGGAAATAGAAAACAAGCAAGTAAACATATAAACTGATTTCTGATATTAATAAAGTTTATAAAGAAAATAAAATAAACTATTGGTTAGAGAGAGGCTGAAGCAGGTGGTGAGAGAACTGCAGTCACAGTTCTAAGGTCCTAAGACAGGCATAAGCTTAGTGTGTTTGATGAAAGGAAAGAAGACCAGAGCAGCTGAGGCATAATGAACAAGAGGAGAGTGGCAGGAGATCAGGGAGCAGAGGTGGACTGGAGCCAGGTCGTGGGAACCTTGCAGGCCATGGTAAGCAGTTGATTTTATTGTAAGGACACTGGGAAGCCAAGGAAGGGCTTGAAGCAGGAACATGATATGACCTATAAAATGTTTAAAAATATTCATCTGCCATTGGAGAACAAACCTTAGGAGGCTAAGAGTGGGAGCAAGGGAGGCTGTTAGAAGGCTGTGGCAGTGAGTAGTACAGATATGAGATAATGGTGATTTATATCGTGGTGGTTGCAGTGGGACTGGTAGGAAGTGAATGGATTCAAAATATGTTTTGGAGGTGGAGCTAATGGGATTTGCTGGTGTATTGGACAAGGGGAATGAAGTGAAGAGAGGAAGTTTCACAGGCCTTTTTGCAAAAGGGTAATTCTTCCCCTTAGCCACAGGAATTAGTTCAGGTGTGGACACTTGACTCCAGTTAATCCAATCAGGATTCTTCAGGAGCCTGCTGGAAGAGACAACCTTTCTTCTAATGGATGTGAACCTGGGGGAGAATGTAGCCTGTGCCCGCAGCAGGTTACCTGGTTCCTTGAAGATCCTGAAGACAGAACCAACAAGGCAGATAACTGAGAGGTAAAGAGAGACAACTTCACTGTTGGAGTCTCTATATTAAGTTGTGCTTGAAACCTCTGGTTGAGGTTTTGTCCCCACTCATTATGGGGGTGGTGGTGGTCAGATGGCAGGACAAAGAAACAGAGGTCACTCCAATGGAGAGGACCCTGCATTATATAAAAAATATCTTCACAGGGGGCTGCATATAGTGACCAAATGGTGGTAATGCTCATGTGTGAGGGTGGTGGTTGCCATGGTGAAGGTATTCCCTCAGGACATGCCAACCTCTTCTTCAAGTTACCTGTGCTCTAATTTGCCAGAGCAGCCTCAGAAGTGTGGGTGATCCATGCTAGATCTCACAGGAATTCCAAACAGAATTCTAGAACTGTTTTACATTATGATCCCTGACATCCCATGGCAGTAGCGTTATCATTGTTATCACCATCACCACATTTATAATTTGCATTCTTAATATTTATTGGGTTCATGATACATGCTAGGCCCTATCATAAACATAAGCATAATCTCATTTAATACTCACTACAATTCTGTCGAAAGATTCTATTCTTAACATCCCCGTTTTCATAGAAGGGTTAAATAATTTGACAAGGTTACACAGTTATGATGTGGTGGAGGTTGTGTTTAATTGGTAGTGGTTAATTTTCTGTTTCGTGTGCATTAGAGTAATTATTTTTGTCTATCTTATATGTTCTTAAAATGTTTTCCTTTTCAATGACCCTAGGTTTGCTTTTCCTTAAAAAATAAATCAAAGCAAGACAAATAAAAACTATAAAACAAAAGCTTGATAGAGCTTGGACAAAAATGATCAGGTCTCCAAAATAGCATCACGAGTGTGAAAATGTCATCTGTTTTAAAATAATATGCTGCATGATTAAAATCTGACCTTGTCAGAATTTGCTTTCTTAATTTATGTGGCAAAATGCCTGAAGGTCAACACAGAGGAATGAAATAAATGCCTGAAGGTCAGCACTGAGGAATGAATGACCTGTTTAAAACAAAGGGAAGCAGGAGTGCCCGAATATGACCAAGAATCTATCAAAAAAGCATCAGAGAGCTTCATATTCAGGTTAATAAAAAGGGGTGAATTGTACATTTCAAAGGAGAATCTGGGACACTGTTCAAATAACAAACACTTAGAGCAAGCTGGGCTCCTAGAATAATAGGCACGTGCATTTACAGAATGGGAGGATTTTGTCCACCGTGTGAGTGCTCACTCACTCCCACATCTAACCTTACAACACTACCTCAGAGAAAGTGGATTTGATGGAAAAAATGTCAACATGAATAAGTGATCATAGTGTAGAAACAGAAACAATATCTTATTTTAGTATCTTTTTTGTCTCCATAATAGTTCAATCTATTAATATAACATCTTTTGACTATGTAAACATTGGCTTTGAAATCTCCAACTAAATATTGCAACTAAAACATTTATCATCTTTCAACCAGAAAGGTTTTCATAGATTGCACATATCTTCTAAAAGAAAAAAATGTTCTTGGTAGTCATTAAAAGCACATTCTGGAGCAGGCATACTTAGGCAGTATATGCTACAGGCTGGCCTTATAAAGGCGCTATTTATTACTCCCTAGTTTTCACCATTAATCTAGTTTCCTGTCGTGCATCCATAAATAACTGCTCTAACTTCTTCGTCCTTCTTTACTGTCGCGATAATAATAGCTTCTTTGTGAATGGGAGGGCTCAGTCTCTAACTCCACAGCATGACCTTGATTGAGTGAAGGTTCAGGAGTCCTGTGTACTAGTTTCTATTAGCAGTCTATTAAGTACATAGGAAATCACCCCAAACCTCAGTGGCTGAAAACTACAGATATTTAGTATCTCACGGTGTCTGAAGGTCAGGAATCTGGGAGCGGCTTAGCTGGGTGCTATTACCTCAAGTCCTCCCATGAGGTTGCAGTCATGCAGTCGGCTGGGGCTGCAGTCATCTTGAGACTTGCCAGGGGCTGAAAGAGCCACTTCCAGGCGCACTCACCTGGTTGCTGGCAGGCTTTAGGTCTGCTTACAACATGGTGACTTACTTCCGGCATGATTGATCTAAGAGAAAGAGAGCAAGCATGCTGAAGATGGAAGCCACAGTTGGTTTTCCTTTTTAAAAATAACCTGATCTTGGAGGTGACATCCCATCACCTCTGCCTTACTGTATTCATTAGAAGTAAGTCACTAGAGCCATCCCAGACTCAAGGGGAGGGGATTACACACCAGAGACCATTGAGGGGGCCATCCTAGAGATGGCCTAACACAGTCTGCATCTGTCACCTGAGCTCCTGGACACCAGGGTAACAACAGAATTAATTTTCTCTCTTCCTTTCTCTGGAAGGAGGCTAGTACAAATTGAACACAAAAAGCAAGGGGAACTGTAACCAGAGCTGAGGCTGAGGACTATCCTAAGCTATGGAAATCTCACTGAAGATTTCCATCTGTATCCTCAGAATAGCAACAACCTCAGGCTCTACATGCTCTGTCACCCCTCCAAACATCCTGGAAGACACTGCTAGCAGTGACTGACCAGGGGATTCTGGCTGTTTTACTGGATGCCTTAAAGGCATTCAAGGTTGGGGAGTCAGTTTCTGATCATACAATGCAACCTGCTTGCAGCACATTAGGTGCACTGGTTGGAAATTCTACCTTCAACGACCTGTTGGGAGATCAGCTTGGGTATGTATTTTACAGTGATGGGCCTCAAGCCGCTATTACTTCACTAAAGTCTGCTCAAGAAAAGATCCTAGCTATTTTGTTTTCCAAAGCCAGACGGCAGGTTTTGGCTCAATGGCAATGCTGAACTCTGGTACAACTCTAAATTTTATGCTAGTGTTTTACCTACCCTTCTAGTTTGACACACGGGCTAGTTTTTCTCAGCCTTCAACTCCAACTCTTCTGTGGCTTCAGCTCTTTTTCTCTTTCTTGGTCTCATGAAACCTTAAAGACTCGTGCATCTTAGCCCTCAGGACTTCCCTTCTCGTTACCCCATTCTCCCAGGTCAGCCCCCACTCAGGTTGTTTCAGCTTCAGAGGGAGAAATTGGATGTCGAGGAGGACGAGAAGTAGGGCCTAATTCTTGAAAATATAACTGACTGAAAGAACCAGGACTCTGCTGTCAGTTGGGCTGGGCCATTAGCTACACTTCACTCAAAGAGAACTGGAGTCCGACGCTCGGTGAAGGGACTGCACGGAAGCTGGCCAATAGTCTAGCTCTTGAGGCTGAGACTCAGAGCTGTGATTGCAGCGTTATACCCAGAGAGTAGGTTAACAAAATAGCACAAGGGACCCAAGACTACAGAAATGACTGGCCCTGTCCAGCAAATGTACAGAGAGGCAAGAAGGCGGGCCCAGGGTGCCCTGCCGCTGGGAACCAGGCAAGCCATCTGAAGGAAAGTGCAAATGCCTCATAGCTGCGAGGCCGGCAGGTTACACAAATAAGTGAAGCAGGTCAGATGTAAGACCGTGGGGAATAGTGTTGGTGGCTGACTGTCTGGAGCATTTAGAGCCAAACAAAATACATCTGTGGGGCCAACTCCGTAAGATAGATTCCGCCAGTAGGGGGCACCTGTAGATGGTTACCAAACGGGACCAGGTTTGGTACTTGGGATGAACAGCTATGGAGAGGCTCCAGTTTGAAGTTTCCTAAGCTGCTCCAAGTCACTGCAGAGGATGTAGCATGGCTACTTTGATTTCCAGAGCCAACTGCAGGCTATGTGAAAACGAGAGGAGAGGTGAGGCAGCTTTGGTTTTTGAGTTGAGTGAGCAGGTACCTAAAACAGAGTTGGGGCTCAAGCTTTTCTTGAAAGGGCAAGCTCTTGAAAAATTGCTTTCTGGTTATATTAGTGGCAACTCATGAGGTAAACTTGTTCTTTTTTCCCCTTTCCCACCATCTTCCCTTCCTCCCATGTTTTACCATCTCCCTAATGCCCTATACCTCACAGAAACTTGCCCTTGAGACTTAAAACCATCTGGAATGAGGCTGGAAGAGCTGGCCTTGGCTCTGATAGTTGCTTTTACTTTGTGGTATCTTAAGGATGCTACCTGATGTCTGACCATTCATAATACACAGAGAGTTTGTGGCAACAAGGTCGGCAGAACGTAGCAGTAGACAGCGCCAGAGGGGATGCCTCTGAAGATTTGGCTTTTAGCCCATGATCTGAGGACGAACAGCCAGGGCCAGGCTGAAGCAAGTGAGAAACTCCCAGGACCATGGAAATACAGAGGCAGATCTTGTCTTTATTTAAAATTTTGATATTTTAGTCATTGTGGGATTTTTTGCATTGATTTTGTTTTCTAAAATATTGCATTAAAATATCATTTATCTTGATCGCTGGGTCTGTGGCATCCCTTAGGTTTTGCATCACAGGTAACTGCCTCACTCCCCTCACCCTGGTTCCAGCCCTGAACACCTTCGCAGCTTAATCAGAAAGTCGAACCAGTTGGTGCAGTCCCTCAGCGCCTCTGGCCTTGATTTTTTCCTCCCTTTATCTTCCGAGAACTTACCAAAGCCAACAAACAGAGAATGCAAGACTTCTTTTCTGTATGTCACAAGCTCTGATTTAGAGTCAACTCGAGTATTTCTGCACTTTTCTGTTGATGCTTTGATCTGATTCAAAGATTATTTTAGTCGAAAGGAATTATAGTGGTTAATGTTGGGTGTGTTCTTTTACCAAGATGTAATTTAGAATGGGATTGACTCTTATAGCTGCTTGAACTTTGCAGGGGTAAAAGACTGTTGAGATTTGCTCATCTTTTGTCTAGAATTGCCAGATGTTTGATACTGTACTCCACAGCTCAGTATTTTGGCTTCTTACATGCTAAAATGAAAATGAAAACAAAAATGAATACACAATGTGAGATTTTCCTCATTAAAATTTTTTCTTCATCGTGTGAGGCTTTGTGAGGCTGGATCTTAGTATTTTTGAACCCTTGCCAGCTGGAAGAAAGGACAAAACAGCTGTTCTAAAGTGCCAAGAAATTGGCTTCCAGTAGCTCTGAGTGTAAAAGAGTCAATTTGTCTTTGTTGTGTATTTTGCCTTTGTCCTGGGAGTGATTATTTTGATAAACCCTCATGGCTGTGCAGATGTAAGCCAAATATCTATTGGGGGCAGCTCCTGATATTAGTTAAGTAATTCACTGCAGATACTTCAGATTCTCTTGTAGTACATGTTTGACAGTACAAAAGCTGACCTGGGTGGGGTGGTATATTCTTTTACATGATCACAGTTATTTAATAATTTTAATTATTCTTAGGACATAGACACTGAAATATT